AAGTCGTTAGAAGGAAAATGGTACAAACACACAAACAATTATTACAAATAGACTAAAATTAAGACTTAACTACTTACATTAATTGTCCGGAATTGATATTCAAATAAAAGGTATCCTTACACAGTTCACAAAAACAATTGCAATTTTCAATGAATACACTTTACACTAACGACCGGGTAATCGCAGCATTTATAGGGCCGCCGATAAACATCTCTCCTTGCAGCACCTTTGATGGCCAAAACTTCAGAATGTAGAACAAAAACTAGCCGCGAATTCGGCTTCCGGCTTCACAAACGGAACTTCTTCGAACTTCAAACTCACATTAGGCGAAACTTTTAATGCTGGCTGTCGCTTCAAAACAATTAATCCACGATGGATCTCGCAAAAAGCGAAATAAATTCTTCTACGAAACGTAACTCGGTGCTGAACGTAGCAAAAAGCTGATTTAAAATTTTCCACGAGACGTAACTCTGCTCTGAATGTGGCTAAAAGCCGATTTCAAACTTCAACGAAACGTAGTTCTGCATTGACTGTGGCTAAAAGCGACGCTTTTCCTCTTAACGTCCCATTTACGGTGAAACCCTTCTTCCGAAAATCAAAATTATAACAACCATTGTTACACAGTTGACAACAAAGACTATCCCCTCAACGTACGTTAATAGACCAAAAAATAGAGGTCGAATAATTTTTATAAATGGATTTGTTATCAGACATTAAGAGATACATTCTAGGAGAAAATAAAATTTCATCTCTATTAACTAAACAGAAAAGGCGATAAATTACATCCACCTGTCAATAAATTAAGCATTTACAATTGATAACAGATAAAGACCAAACAAAATTCCCAGAAATTTCTACGTTAAATAAAATAAAAATGTAAACAAAAACAACCTTGACCGCTTTCTCGTATGACACAATAATCCCCATGCCGTTACATAGACCAACGACAAATTAATAAAATTCAACTACGAATGTTAATTACACAAAAAGGAAACCGCCCTTGCCCATCTTGATTAAGATTTCACGAAATATGAGTCTATCATCGCAACCCAACGATTTAAAATTTAAAAACAATTTAAGAACATAAAAATTTTTTAGAAAAAATCATAATCAATTGCTCTTACCACAAGTTGTTATTTGCATTTTTATTTCGAGGGGCGTGTCGTGCTTTCAATCCCTCTCTGTAATATTCATTATAAAGGCTTCCTGAATCAGCAGCCGAAGATTGTTTAAGTCGGTTATGGTAGGTATGGTAAAACTAATGAGCGGCCATGCCAGTGAACGTCAATGATTTAGCTCTTGTTCTTATGAAGGTGACTTTTTTTTTAACTCCGGAGCGATATGGAAGTCACTGAAGGACGCTGATCATTTTTCCCCAGTGTTTAGTTAGGCTACTGCCATATCTTCAAGATTCTCTGTATATGTCTTTTATTTGAGGATTAATAGACTATTATAGGCACATATTTGGAAATGTAGAATGTCGGAAGCATTTCATATAACAATTGGGGAAACCGTTTTTTTAGACTAATTAAACCTCGCTGAATCCGAAAATGCATGTTTCCACGTCGTGATTCAAACCGGAAGTCTGGAATCCAAGATGGCGTCCAGATTACGTTTGAGTGTATCTACCTTGTCTCTTTAGATAAAATCGTAATTTAAACGTCGATTTTAGGGCTTTCAATGACAAGGAATTCAATATAATGCTTTAAAAAGAGACATCTTATGGTTTAAGGCCTTAATTCCATTTTTTGCCGAAAATATGATTTATTTATATGGGTAATCATTGGAGTAATAAAATTCTATGGAAATCCTAACGCGGTATTTTCATTACGAAATAAGTTTACATAATAAACAAAAACGCTTTTTTTTTCACTTAATACATTTACTAACTTTCCAAAATTTAAACTTAGTCCTGCTCCTCAGTCAACTCATAGCTCAAGATGCGAGAGTTCAGACATCGGCCTTTGCAGTAGCACAATTTTGTACAAGACAAAACGGATCTTTTGAATCCGCACATTTTGTTTGCGCATTCCGTTTTATAATTACAAGTTATGGTGTCAATGCACACTTTTGGAACAGCACCAAGGGTCATCAAAACGGATATACGGATATGTTGTCAACTTCCATCCGCAACTTTGGAGAACAGGAAGAGCCGGATGGGCTTCTATTAGGATTCGTGGACCTACACTCTTCTTCATCATAAAATCCCCCTACTTTGGTGTTGTCGAAACTGTTGATCAGAAGCTCTTCCGATAAAAACGGCGTTCTTTTCTAGAGCTAAAAATTTCTTCCAGTTTTTGGGAAGAGGAACATCGGCGTTGGTTATGTCCTGTCTCATCGGAGTTGGTTTCCTTGTCCGCCTTTTTCTGGTGCCACTCTTGATACACGTGGTTCGGTAATGGTCAAAAACGGTATCCACTCTTTCATGCCATGACCCTAGCAGTTTGAATGCTAAACCAAACCAAAATCTTAGCCGAATCTCCAAAGGTGCTGGCTAGTAGTAGGCTTTCCCATCACCACGACTAATGCTTGGTCGTCAACAATCAGCTGAGAAGATCTTCATTGGGTATCTATACTGCTTGCATTTTCGACTTTGTTCGAGATTTTTAGTTCTCAGATGATCGAAGGGCTCCATCCATTTCAGCAAGTGATAAAGGAACAGGGAACAGTTTGTGCTTCAATATTGACGTAATGTCTACTGACCAACCTGCCTTGTATGTCATTACACTCGTCATTACAAGACGTCGAAGTACATTTCTATCTGCCTCAGTCATTTTCTTCCCGTCTTTTGATAAGACCAGCAGTATGCAAAATTGGCACTTTTCTCTGATTTCTCCTTGATGAAGTTCGACAAGTAGCGTAAGTTGGTTTCCTCTCTCAGTCTTCCACACTCCTACTGTCTTGAAAAGCACGCTGAAACTCGCTGGAATCAACATCATTTTCTTCAAGGAAGGACACAAACTGAGGTGACAAAATGTGCATCAGATACTTGAAAGGCTATCTCAGGGGTTATCTTGTCTGCTCTCATGGCCTTGACGTAAGATTTTCCTTCGAAAACTTAGCCGATAGAATAGAATAATTGCGGAACTATTTTCAGAATCATGTAAGTCTTGTCGGCGTTTTGAACATTCTAACAGCCTTTGCTTTCCTATATTCCTTAGCTCTGACAACTTCTCCTCATTTCCTCGTCTTTTCTGGCATAAAATGCACAAAATATATTTGAACGTAGTAGTATACTCGTTTGTAGTAAGGAACCCGTTGTAAAAGAGCCTGCGGGGAATAATACATCGCATTTAAAAACAAAAATCGTTTATGAAGAGACGAGAGGTGACCCCTCTTAGGCCTTAGCATAACAATAGCTACAACAGAAGCCAAGAATTCAGGTTCTCTCACCTCAGTTCAATGGTAGCACTCAGATTTATTTACCAGTTGACACGCATTGTTCACACTATATGCATATTTAAAAAAACCGTAAACCACACCCACCGCGATGAGCGACTTAACATGCACCATCATCAGGTGTCTTTTTAAAGCATTGAATTGACTTTCTTACCTTTGAACACCGCCGTTTATATTACGATTCTAGCTCAAAAGACACGGTAGATACGCTCAAACATTCTCCGGGCGCCATCTTGGCCCCCATCTTGGATTCTGGACTTCCGGTCCAAATTTCGACGTGGAAACAGGCATTTTCGGATTCAGCAAGGTTTAATGAGCCTAAATAAGTTGTTTCTCCTATTGTTATATGAAATGCTCCTGACATTCTTATTTTAGAACTTATTGAAAATCTGTCCTCTGTCCTAGCCTAGGAAGTTACAGAGTCATGTTTTGAACTAAAAGTGACAAATAGATTGCAAAACCATTTTACACTTATTATAAAGAGGTAGGAAGTAATTATCCCACAGCTTCTTCAGTGCCATTTTGAATATTCATAAATGCACAATTGTGTTTTTGAATGGACATTTATTTGGGAATATTGCAAGATATCTTGGTTCTACGATCTAGCAAAATTCTGTCTTTTGAATTTGTACTTTACCGGAGCCCAAAAAATAGCGAATGTACTGCAGGACAAAGTGCGTCTTAATTGTACTTTAAAGATATAATATACCATTCTGATGTTCCCCCTATGTTTAGTGTAAATATAGTTAGCAAAATGCTTTCTTCACGAAAGGCCATAACTTGCTTATTGTTTAGGTGTGTGTGTGCGTGTGCCGTTTGCGCTAGTGCATGTAAACTTTTCTTGCGAAATTCTCTCGTGGATAATTCGGCATGCATTTGTAGTGTGTGGGTGAGGTATTCAAAAACCTTTTGGCTACGAATTGAGAATGAAATTAATAGCATACAAACGATTAAAGATTTCAATTAGCATAAATAACAAATAAAACGTTGCACTACCACAATGAAATTGGCTGTAGGCGTTTAGATAGAACATTGGCAATCTGCTATCGCCTTCTTTTGCTTTTTTGGTTGATAGTGCTTCTTTTGATTCTCCTCGGGCAGATAAGATATGCATGTTTTAAAAAAGGTCGATTTATGTTCCAATTTAATACACTTCCATCGGCATCGTACGTTGCATGGTGCAGTACTTTCTTATACTAATCTTAGAATTGAGTTTATTTACGTATAAGGTATATGAACAAGAAATGTGAATAAACTTACTTTAAAATATCTACACTGTAAACATTTATCTCAAGTACACTGACTCTTCATTGTTTATGGAAGAGGTTCATTAATTTAAAATCGAACTATCATAAAGATTTAGATTTAAAATCGTATTCCAGAACACAAAAATAACATCTCAAACAGCAGCGTCCTTTGCATATCTGAGCACGCGAGCTGT